TGATGATGATGATGATGATGTGTCGTCTGTCCGGTCTCCAGTGGTGAAGAAGAACAACGTCCTGCAGCTCCATGTCGATGCAGCCAGCGAGCACAGTGTCGGTCCCAAACAGAGCCGCTCTGCAGGGGCCAAAGAGACTGTTTACCTTGGTGGAGTACCTGGTGAGCACACACACACACACACACACACACACACGCACACACACCTGGGTGCATCGAACTGAGAAGGACAAAGCTTCAGAGTGTGAAACTTTAAACACCGTCTGATATCATTTATATTAGTTTGTTTGGGATTCGGGGTGGATCGAACCCACTCAGGACAATGTCCTGACGTTTCACACTAAATATTTCCTTATTGGTGAAAGCTCAATAGATCGCAATACATCCTCCACATCTATCCTCATCTGTTTACTCATATATACATATATATAATTCCAACCTTTCACTTGAAATAGATTATTCTTCTATCAACACAAATATTGCATTTTTCCATAATATTGTGATATTTTTTGTTCTCAAATGACTTATTTTATAAAATTACAGCTGAAATGCCTTTATTTCTCCTTTGTTGTCTTTAGGATTGCAACTTATTATTGATTAATCATTTAGTCTATAAAATGGCAGAAAATAGTTGGGGTCAGTTTTTACAGAACTCATTGTGATGTCCTAAATTTGTTTTGGGACACAATCCCTCTCCGAAGGAAGCTGTATTGAATATTCTTCCTTGATACCCTCATTCCCAATGGAATGAATGAGATTTCATTTGCTTGTTGTAGTTGTGATAACCTAGAATGAATCCCACCTGTGTACATTGATTGTGAAATTGCCAGAATGCACGTTACAGTCTGCTGACACTAGTGGATGTTATGGCTGGTTGGTTGGGGGATTCACAGCCATCTGATAACCTCTTTCTCTCTCTGTTCTTGCTTTCTTTTGTAACATGTTGTTCCTCTCTCTGTCCACCAGATGGCGTCACAGTTCCTGGTCTACCCGCCAGCCTGCCAGCCTTCCACGGCTGCATCCGCCAAGCATCGATCAACCACAGACCTGCTATGTTGTCCAAACCGCTCGCAGTGCACGGAGCTGTGGGGACGCAGGGTTGCCCACACATGTAGACCCAACACACACACACACACACAGTCTTATCCTCACATTCCCCAACTGCAAATTATTGGTGGTGGGTGTCATGTTACTGTAGCTAATTTAAAATATATATATTAATATTTATTTTCTATTTTCAGAAAAGTGTATATTTTATATTTTCCCATTTTGTTGCTGCAATGTTACTGGTTTGTGACAACTCTCAGCACACAGAGATGCACTGATACAAGACTGGTACAACTCAACTCTGATCATAAACCAATGATTAAACGTGTAGTATATTGTAAATAAAAGCCACACAGCTTGATTTTTCTTGCTTTTGCAAACAGATGCTGATGTCATTTCTGGTCCCAAACTCATTTCCTGAATCTGCAATATATTCGAGTAAATAATGTATACGGCTGTTTATCGTGCATCTCTCGCAGAGAATGTTAATACCTACTGAGTCAGAACACTGTGAACACTAATGTACGAGCAACATCCTCAGGCAGCACAGGTGGGAGACGTTACCTGCAACGGGGACTACGACTGGACGTTTGGAAATATCACTTAATCAAGTCTAAGTGATGCAAACATGAACAAGACACTGGCTGTTCCAATGGGCATTTTTCACAGCAGATGATACTAATTAAAGTTCTCTTTCATTCGGGTAAAAAAAGAGTCAGGGCTCTGCTACCCTAAATGGAAAGGAACCTTAATAAGTGTTTGATAAACCTGTGTTTACCCTATTTCATGTCAAAATGGCTGCTGTGGCATTAGTCACCTTTCTCATCTTCCTCACACATAATCTCCAACATGTAATCTGTTTTTATTTTGGGAAAAACAGCCCAAGTCCATGTTTGCTCTGCTGACCTTTTCTATCAAACGTAGTAATAACGATGCGTTCAGGTCACATTTGATTTATCGTAATTATGTGTCTGTCAGCCAGTTAAATCCAAATTGAATGACCAGTGTTACAATGTCAGTATCTGAAACTCTGTACTCACTCTGTACTCACTCTGGTGTTGAGCTGTCAGATGAAGTCATAAACATGAGACTCCAAATCCCATCAGCCCACTCCTGTTCAGGTTGCAGGCAGCGTTTCCCGCCTCCATTCCATCATCAATGTAAACATGTACCAAACATGAGTGTGAAGCTTGTATATAGTATAACCACTTTTATATCTCACACAAATAAGCTGTGCCTCCCACTCACTCCCACCCTCATGTGTTGTAAATGTATTTCTAAATAAAGTTTTGTTTGTTTTTTTCATACAAACGGTACTCTTCAGTGTTTGTGTCCCTGTGTTAAAGACACACCTGGAGCTGTGTTGTTGTTTGCCAGTATGATTTTTTTTATTAAAGAGTAAATCACAAAAAGCCTGAAAGTATCCGCACTCGCTGACAGTCTGAACTGTGGTAACAAAAGGAAGAAAGTAAAATCAAACTTAAGGCTCAGTCCCCGAACACAAAACTGTCCTTTCAGAGTAAAAGTAAGGTTCAGTAGAACTAAACGGAGGTCAGGTCGGAGGGTTTACAAGGTGGTCACAGTGAAAACGGCTCTGCTGACCCGTGCTGTTCGTCCTGAGAAGAAGCAGAGTGTTGCCTTTGGTATAGAAAGGTAACATGAAAGAGGGGGGGGGAAATAAAGAAATAAAGAGGAATCACAGATTTGACTCAGTTGAGTTGCTCGGCAGCGTGAGCTCTAATCCAGACTCATGTCCTCGTCGTCATCTTTCTTCTCTTTGGAGTCTCCTTTACTGCCCTGCATGGCTTTGGCAAACGCCTCCACATCTGACGGGGACACGAAATACAAAACGTGTTATAGATAACTCATTCACAACAAATAATATATTCACACGCTCACATCACACATGGCCACTGTGATTCCTCCTACAGCAGTTTCAATGTTAGCGATGGGGACAACATTCACACTCTTTCAGCCGTCTGACAAATAACGTGTGTGTTGGGGATGAGCAGGACGACTCGATGTCAGTATGTGTTTAATGTAAAGAGTATGTGTTCTCCTTTACAGCAGAAGTGATAGATCCACATAGATGTTCCATTTTCAATCACACCATCTTTCCACTGTTGACAATTCATATAAATGTGAAAGCATCACATAGTAGTAGATATTCCATATAGTGTGTAGTTTTCTATCAAATGTTAAAGGGCTCATTATGTATTTTGAATAGTTCTATGGCACAGAGGAAGAAGATATCAGGCTTTGATACACACACAATATTTTTAGTAGAGACAAATCAAACTGATCCTCTGGACTTTTGAGATAATCAGCATTGGCCGTGTGTGTGTGTGTGTGTGTGTGTGTGTGTGGTCTCACCTCCTCTGTTGGCAGCGTCCACAGCTTCTGCCGGCAGACCGAACTGACTCAGGAGAGGGCCGAGCTGCCCAGAGGCCAAGGCACTGCTGAACATACTCATCGCCTGAAGGAGGGACCAATCACAGTCACACACTGTCTGACATCACGCTGCAGCAACGACACACATTAATGGCCTCATTCAATAACACCATGATGGAGGTTACTGGTAACACACTGCATGTTCCACCACCTCATGCTCTACCATCGATCTGTTCTCTTTGTCCGCTCCTCCTACCTGCTGGAACTGAGGCGAGTTCAGTGTGTTCTGGATCTCCTCAGCGCTCTGAGGTAAACTTTCTCCGCTGGGGAGGAACGGCAGGAGCCTCTGCTGGACCTCGGCGTTAGTCAGGATGGGAGCCATCATCTCTGGGGTGCAAACACTGGCCAGGTCCACTACAGAGAGGGAGAGGAGTCCTGTCAGTCACACTTAATGAAACACTGTATTCACTCCACTCTCTCTCCTTTTTATTCTCTTCTTCATTGACCTTATTTCTCTTCTTGGCCTCATTCACAGGGTCTCCACTCCTTAAGAAATCATTTTCCAGGAGTTTTTCTTGACAATACAGGCCAGTACTTGTTTACAAATGTTCAGAATTTCCCAGTAGACCTAGTATTGACACATTTAATTCTAGTTTACAAGTGTCATACTGTGCAGTGTATCCTCCCACCAGTAGCAAACAAAATACACACCCAGGTTTATGTAGACGATCTGAGCGAGGGACAAAATACATTGTTGTCAGGATATTTGGTCATTTTAACCGTGAAAACTCGTCTCTAAATTTCCAGATTTTCCAGGACACATTTTTAGCTGATGCTGTTTTTATACTTTTAGTGACATTAGTAACAATAAAGTCCTAAATCAGAACTATACCAAGACGTCTACCCCACATTCAATCATCTGCCGCTCACCCGCTGATCCCTGAGCAGCCGCAGAAGCCGGCACGTTCATGGTGGCGAGGATGTTCTGAAGGTCACTGAGCTGGATGGGCTGGTGGGAGCCGGGGCTTCCAACAGAGGCTGGGACCACTGGGGTCTGAGCCGAGGCTGTATATGAGACAAGCAACAAAGAGTCCATGCAAACATGCTATTAAAAATGAAAACGTGATACTTTTGGTTTTCTTCTCTTTATTAAAAAATGCAATAGGATGAATTATTGTCATTAAAACTCTCTTTTATACTTTAATCAAACACTAAACACAACTTGTGCCTCTTGCTTTGTAAGCCTTGGTGGTTTTAAGGGGATTTTAAAGCGTCACATGAAGCAGTCTGCTTTTAATGAGGTCCAGGAAATAAAAGCAGTGATTAACTGGCAGACGACTGACGCATAATGACGGCACTGTACGATATGTACCTGGTGTGGAGGGAGCAACAGTAGTAGGGGAGACAGCTGAGGCAGCAGGAGTCACAGGGGTGGTGGGGGCCTGAGAGGAGCTCAGCCGAGAGGCCCCGCCTGATGAAGGAGTAGCTGCTGCTGATTGGCTACGAGAGCTGAGGAGGAGGAGCAGGGCGACAGAGGGGAAGAAGCCAGATTTATATGATATTTTTACATGTACTCTGTTCTACATCTGTAACGGCAGTGGAGATGCGAGCTGATGTGTGTGTGGGGTCTTCTGCCTCACCTGGAGGAGGAGCTGCTAGTGGCTGGTCCTCCGCTACCCAGCAAGTTAGCAAGTCCTGGTCCTGCTAGAGCTCCCAGACCTCCTTAGACAGACACAAACAAATTAAAAAGGGTCCAAACTGAGGTCTGAAAACAGGTGACAGGGTGTGTAAGAAAGTACAAGGGAAAAACAGTCAGAGAAACATCCAGTGCTGCTCACCCAGTCCTCCAAGTCCTGTTGGTCCAATCAGCTGCATCAGTTGGTTGTGGCTCATATTTCCCAGCAGGTTTTGCAGGCCTCCCTCTCCCCCGAGTGCGGAGAGCTCATGGCCGCTGCCGCCTCCGCTGCCTGGCGCTCCAGGAATGGGAGGGTTGTTAAGGTACTCGTTCACCTTACGACAGTGCTCCTCGTCCTTGTCGGTCTTTGGCTCCTGATGAAAATCAGCAAAGTGGAAATTCTTTGAAATCAGACCTTCATTATCCACAGAGTAAGTTAAAAGTTATTCCCATGTGGTGGCTCAAGGCAGGTTTAACGTAAACAGGAAGATCAGATGAACA